CGGCCGCTCACGCCCGCGCGCGCTTCTTGGCCCGCACGCAGACATGCGGCGGGACGTACAGGAGATCTTCCGGCTGACCCCGCACGAGAAGCAGTGCATGATGTTCAGCGCCACCCTGAGCAAGGAGATCCGGCCCGTGTGCAGGAAGTTCATGCAGGACGTGAGTACGGGGCGCCGCCGCCCGGGCCTCCGCGCGCGGGCCCGGCGCCCCAGTGAGCCCCGCCGCCCCCGCTTCCCCCCACACAGCCCATGGAGGTGTTTGTGGACGACGAGACGAAGCTCACGCTGCACGGGCTGCAGCAGTACTATGTGAAGCTCAAGGACAGCGAGAAGAACCGCAAGCTCTTCGACCTGCTGGACGTGCTGGAGTTTAACCAGGTGAGGCCCCGCCGCACGCCTGCCCCCCTCCCCGCCTCACGCAAGCGTCCTGCAAGTCTGATGGCCGCGACCCCCCCCACCCGCAGGTGGTGATCTTCGTGAAGTCTGTACAGCGCTGCATGGCGCTGGCGCAGCTCCTGGTGGAGCAGAACTTCCCGGCCATCGCCATCCACCGGGGCATGGCCCAGGAGGAGCGGTGAGTGCGCCCGCCCCGCCCGCCCGGCCCCCTGCGCGCGGCCCCCACTCACGCAGGCGCACACGCCGCCTCCCTGCAGCCTGTCCCGCTACCAGCAGTTCAAGGACTTCCAGCGCCGCATCCTGGTGGCCACCAACCTGTTCGGCCGCGGCATGGACATCGAGCGGGTCAACATCGTCTTCAATTACGACATGCCCGAGGACTCGGACACCTACCTGCACCGCGTGAGTGTTCTTGCACGCGCATGCGCCATCGCCCGCCCCGCTGGCCCCGCCCGCGCCCTGACCCCGCAGGCCTCCCCCGCAGGTGGCCCGCGCCGGCCGCTTTGGCACCAAAGGCCTGGCGGTCACGTTCGTGTCCGATGAGAATGACGCCAAGATCCTCAACGACGTGCAGGACCGCTTCGAGGTGAACGTGGCCGAGCTGCCGGAAGAGATCGACATCTCCACATACAGTGAGGGCGGGGCCCGGGGCGGGGCCGCGGGGGGAGGTGCGGGACCCCTGACCCCTGACCCCCGCTCCCCTGTCTCGGCAGTTGAGCAGAGCCGGTAACCACAGAAGCGGAAGCGGCCCCGGGGATGTCGCTGCTCCCGCCAGCCTGGCCTCGCCGCCCCGGCCTGCGCACGCGCGGCCCCGCCTCTTTTTACTGTGGCAAAGCTGTAGATTTGTGTACGAATAAATTTTTATTATGGAAGCCCGGCCCTGTGGTCTCCTGTGGTCTCCTCCGCGTCCACACTGTCCGCGGCCGGGCCTGTACCAGGCGCGGTGCACCTTCACCACCGTCACCGCACACCGCAGAGAGGGCCCGCCACGCCCGCCTTCGGGGGCCGCGGCCTCGTACCGTGAGCCTCAGCGGCCTGAGTCCTAGCTTAAGAAAGTGGCGGCCAGCGCCCCGGCGGCGCCGCCTCGGCCTCAGTCTCCCCGTGCGCCCGGGGCCAGTCCGTCTCCCAGGCCGGGCAGTGGCAGGACGTGGGGGTCCTGGGGGCCTGGCCGCCGCCCAGGCTGCACCGAGGCCCGCACCGGGAGTCACAGCCCGACGACGACGACCTCAGGGCCTGGAGGGAGACGGAAGCCCTCAGCCGCCATGCCCTCCCTCCTGCCCGCCCTCCTCCCTCCCTCCCACGGGGCCGGGCCCGCTGCCCTCACCCGCGTCTGCTGGCTGGAGCCCGTGCTGGATGAGTGCGAAGAGCCGAACTCCGAGTACTTGCCCTCAACCACGGCGGAGGCCCACCGGCGGTACTCCTCCCGCACCTGCGGGGAACGGGGGTCAGGCCGGGGGCGGGCCCTGCTGGCCCCG